TCCTTGGAAATGTGTTTTTTTTTTTTTTTTTTTTTGAGATGGGGTTACTATGCAGTCCAGGCTGGCCTTGAACTTACCACGTAGCCCAGGCTGCCCTCAAACTCACAGCGATCCTTCTGCATCAGCCTTCTGAGTGCTGGGATTACAGGTGTGTGCCACCATGCCCAGCTGGATTTTTTTTTTTTTGTAATGGGGATTGAACCCAGGGCATTTGCCCTGAGCCACATCCCAAGCCCCCTTTTTACTTCTTATTTTATTATTTTGAGACAAGGACTTGCTAAGTTGCTAAGTTTACCAGGCTGGGCTTGAACTTAAAATGCTCTGGCCTCAGCCTCCCAGAATGCTGGGAATATAGGTGTCTGCTACTGTGCCTGGTTTAGAATGTATTTTATTTTATTTATTGTATTTCTTCTTGGTTTTTTGAGAAAGGGTATAATTCAGACTGGCCTGGAACTCACAGTGATCTTCCTGCCTCAGCCTCCTTGGTGCTGGGATTACAGGTGTGCACCACCACACCAGGCTCAAATGGATTTTTAGAAAGTGTGATCTAGCTATATTCCATGTGCAAGGGACAATTTTGATTTAAAGTAAATACGAGGTTGAAAGTAAAAGGATGGAACAAAATATGCCTTGTAGACAGTAACCAAAAGTAAGCTGGAGAGGCTATACTAAGACAAGAGAGACTTCAATGAAAAATTTTAACTAGATACAGAGAAAGACATTTCATAATAGAAGATCAGTCCCTCAAAAATACATGTGTGCCTCACAACAGAGTCCCAATATGCATGAAGCAAAAACTGAGAGAATTAAAAGGGAGAAGTAAGCAGTTCAAAAGTAATGATTGGAGGCTTCGATATCTGTGCCAGTGATGGACAGAACAGGAAATAGGTTGGACACCCTGCCTGGCTGCTGACCTGACAGTTTCTGGTAGCACGGCGGCTCCTGTGGTGGCAGAGTCCACAGCTTCCCCTGCACCCGCAACGTCTCCAGGCTAGACCATAAATTAGGGCACGAAGCGATGTTCAGTCCATTGATGGAAGTGGACTCACGCATGTTCTCTTAGCACAGTGTGTGAAATGAGAAGCTGTAATAGAGGCTGTGGGGATGGAAAGATGTGCTTGGCACGCGCATGGCCCTGCATCCGATCTCCAGCACCAGAAAAATTTACAAAAAGAAAACCTAACACGGTGATTGGAAATTTTTTTAATGAATATATAAGTGGACAAGTGACGTGCAGATAATCCACATGAGAGAAAATACAAATTACTAACAAGCATTTGAAGGCTCACTCAGCCCCAGAAAAGTAGTTTGCAGAGATTCTTTCTTTCTCTCTCCATCTCCTCCCTCTTGCGCACTCGTTGTATGCTTAAACTTCTAAGGAATAGAAATTTGGTATTCATCTTGTTGATCTTCATAGGAAAAAATGCTTCTAATTCTGGTTCAGAATAACAGGTAGGTTTCACTTAGCAGTCGTTTATTCTCCTCTTCCTCTTCCTTTTTTTTTTGGTAGGGCACAGTACTGGGGATCAAACTCAGGGCCGCATGCATACTACATCCCAAGTGTCTGTTTGTTTGCTTCTTTCTTTGTTTTTTTGTGTTAAAGTCTTGCTGTGTAGTCCAGGCTGTCCTCGAACTTGTGACGATCCTCCTGCCTCAGCCTCTCATGTGCCACCACACCACACACATTCATGTTTTTTAAAAAACACAAATTGAATACAAGACATAAAGGCAAAAATGAAAGTCCTCTCATCTCTACATCCCACTCTCCAGATGTTATCCTTCTCATTTCATTTTTAAAGTTTGCATCCCACTCTGCTTTCTTTCATTCTAAAAATTTCTCTGAATTACTCCTACAGAAAAAGGCATTATATATGTATTTTGGTGGGGGAGGACAAAATCTTGCTGTATAATTTAGGCTGGCCTTGAACTCATCACTATATAGCCCAGGCTGGTCTCATACTTGGGGAAGTCCTCCTGCCTTAGCTGCCCAAGTGCTGAGACTACAGGCATGCACCTGGCAGAGGCAGCATATATATGAATGGGCTGGGAAAGCAGGGTGCCCAGAGCAACAGGCCTGGTTGTTAACCTCTGCAGGCTTGGTGACCAGTGTATATTTGTTCCAGCATACACATATATGCATATTCAGGACTCTTGGGGCTGTGGAGTCCTCATAGCAAAGCATGTACCTGGCTGGTCAGTAATAATGACTGTAGCTACATTCAGTGAGCTGGTAGTAGTTCAGCTCTTATTAATCTTATTAATCTTTGATTTTAAAAAGCACAGAGAAGCTCTTTAACCCTTTTGTTAACAGTGTGAGCTGAAATGTATGTCTGGTTCAGCTTGTGTGGGGCTGGCTGGGGATGAAGATACCTTACCTCACAAGGTTAACTACTTAAATCTTTTTTTTTTTTTTTTTTTTTTCAACTGGGGATAAAAGTTGGGACCTTGTGCTTGCAAGGCAGATGGTGGAACCACTGAGCTATAAATCCCTGGCCCATTTGAATCTTTTTAAAAAAAATTCTCAATGGGGCCAGGGATTTAGCTTAGTAGTTCCACCGCCTGCCTCACAAATGCAAAGACTGGAGTTTGAGCCTCAGTGCCACCACCACCACCACCCCGCCAAATTCTTGATGGAATACTGTTTTAGAACAAAGGGACTGCTGGAAATTGTCATTCATCTCCTTGTTTTCTTGATGAAAAGTGCTTGGAATGTTTCTTGGTGACCGAGGGAATGAATACTCAATAACTGAGTGTGTGCTGAGTTAACAGTGAGTGAAATGAGGGCCATGGAGAGCAAAAGACTTGTTCCTAGCCCTTGTGATTTAGTGGCATGTGGCCTCAGATTTAGGTAAAGCAACTAGAATGTTAGTAGAGGTGGCAGGGTGTGGTGGTGCACACCTCCAATTCTAGCACTTGGGAGGCCGAGGCAGGAGGATCGCCTCCAGCTTGAGGTGAACTACATCGCAAGATCCTGCCTCAAAAACTACAGAGCAAGTCTCTGTCTCAGAAAACAAAAAACAACAAAAGTAGAGCTGTCATTTAATAAACATTAATTGAAAGCTTTAGTTGAGCCATGTACTGTTGCAGTTGTTGCTGCTATTTACTGTTTTAAGTTCTTAGGTCCACGAAGAAGGGGAGCCAGCAGGTTGTAAGTGATTGTGCGGCAGTGGCCATGAGGTGCAGTTGCTTCTGCTGTCCTGGTGCTGGGGTTGTGGCAGTGGGTGAGAAATGGATCTCTCCGTGGACTTGTCACGAACTGAACACTCTTTTTTGTGTGTGTGTTGTCTTTTTTTTGTTTTCCAGCTGGAAGAAGAAAGATCTGTACTCAATAATCAGTTGTTAGAAATGAAAAAGAGGTAGGCTTTCTTTCTGTGTTTATTTTTGTGTGTGTGCATGTGTGTTTAATAAGGAAAATTTCAGAACATGATACATGTGGTAATTTGTGAAGAACAAAAGACTATTCATCAGAAAATGGCATTGTGATAGTTTGGTACTCATAATTGACAAGTTATGAAATTCTATTTGCAGAAGTTTCAAATAGCTGAAATTTTAAGCCATGATCAATTTTATTAGAATTTCTAAAATCAGATTGTTTCATACTCCTAGTTTCAGTAACTAAAAATACACCTTTACATATAATAATCACTCTGCCTGTAAATACTGATTTCAGTTACATAAGAATTCTAATTTTTGGTGGATATGGTTTTATACACCTAAAATCCCAGCACTCTGGGAAGCTAAGGCCTGAAGAGTCCATGTTTGAACCCAGCCTTGGCAACTTAGTAAGACCCTGTCTTCAAATATAAAGGGATGGGGTGTAGGCTCTTGGCTCAATACCCAGTGCACAAATAATAATATTTCAGTAATAATTGGTAGCATTATTTTAAGTGTTTTATTTATTTTCTAAAAAAAATTAGCTCTGTTACTTATTATACTTACATGTTACTCAAATAGAAATCTAGTATAATTTTCTCAGTGCTTTTGAGCAAGGGTGAACATGGCCCACAGAAATTATTCAGAAGCCTGATACTTACACATTCATTCTGATGACCTTTGTCTGCTCTTTTAAAACATGTACTTTGACTGGATGCAGTGGTGTACACCTGTAATCCTAGCACATGGGAGGCTGAAGCAGGAATATTGCCTTGAGTTTGAGGCCAGCCTGGGCTACATAATGAGTTCAAAGCCATACTGAACTACATAGCAAGACTTTGTCACAAACAAAACAACGATGTATTTTTGTCTAGAGCAGTGGTGGCGAACCTTTGACACGTGTGCCACTACGGGCTGTTTGCATCACTGAAAACTCTTAAGAGATTCACCTTGCTGCTCTAGGCTGGTTCTGTGTTTCTCCTCCAAGTCAGGCAGGTGCAGTCGCTGAGAACTGCCGCTTACCCAGTGGGCTGCTGCAGAATGCTAAGTAGATGTGGACTAAAACTATCACAAATAGGCACACTTTTTTGCTTATTTTTTTAAAAACTAAAAATAAAAGCATGATGGGCTTATTAAGAATTCCTCCATGCTCCTAGGAAGTATGTGTCCTCCTTCTCAGGGCAGAGGGCCTTTCCCCATCTGCCTTATTGGTCTCACCTGTAGGCACTGAGGGTTCTTTAGCCTGCAGACTCCATTCCAGAGGGTGTTGGACAGGGCTGGGCGGGATCCTGTTGGTGGAAGGCCTGCCTGGCGTGTATATGGCCTGCTCCACCCTAGCAGCAGCAAAGCAGTGTGCAGAGTAAAGGAGATTAGGCCTTGATCCAGGGAAACTTTTCTTTTTGTTTGTTTTTAGTTAAATACTTAGATGCATTCCTACAAATTTCACTCGGGTGACACTTATACTCCCCCAGGGCAGGTGTCCCCAGGGACACTGAGCAAGGCAGCTAGTCAGTGGGGCCTCACCTTGCTTATGTGCCGAGCTGCTCTGTCTTTTGCAGTCTCAGGGTTTAACTTTGAAATAAACTTGTTTCTTCAGAACAGCCGCAAGTCAGCAGCTATGGACATGGGAAAATAAGGCTTGCTCTTGTGGCTTTCTGGCCAGGGACCGTGTAAAAGTGGGCTGGTGTAGGACTAACATAATCTTCTGCCTTTATGTAACCCTTTCTAATTCAAAAATTCACCTAGTCTCCAAACAGCCCAGGGGAAGATAGCCTGTGACTTCCATTTTAAAATGTTGAAAGTAAACCAAAGTCGCCAAAGTTAGGCAGCTTGGCCCAGGACTGGGCTTGACAAATGACTGATGCAGGTTTCCCAGTCAGCCTCGGGGTTTGTATGGGTTCTCTTCTCCCTGCATGGTGAACCTTTTTATTTATTTATTAGTTAAAAAAGAAAAAAACAGGGCAAGGCCTTAGCTCAGTGGTTCCACCACCTGCCTCACAAGCCGAAGGCGGAATAAATTTTGGGGCTGAAATTTGGTGAGATTCTGTCTTCTTACTTCACTATTCCCATTTTACACCATGAATTTTTAGGAAGGGTATCTTGAAAATTACTGCTAATTTTGGTGAGTATATATGACCATTTTTTTCTGGGAGTGAAACATTTAAAAGTAGTTAACTCATGTGGAACTTTTTTGTTAACCTTCATGGTAAGTTGTTTTCAATATAAATGTATTTTGGCTAATAATTTAGTTTTTTTGTTTGTTTGTTTGTTTATTTTTTTTTGAGGCAGGGTCTTGCTACGTAATTCAGGCTGGCCAGGCTGGCTTGGAACTCATAGGTCCTCCTGCCTCAGCCTTTCGAGTGCTGGAATTGGAATTACAAGTTTGTGCCATCATGCCCAGCTTAATTTAGACTTTTAAATGCTTTCTAAATGTCAGTTTGGTAAAGGATTTGTGTGTGGATCTATGTGTATAATGTTCAAGTAAATTTATCAGAGAATACTAAGAAGAACTTGATAATTCTCTTAGTTTTAAAAGAATTTCAAGTACTTAAATCATAAGTGTACATGAAATGTAGTTATTCCCAGAACCAAGAATTTAGCCAACAGTTTCATTTGGAATTGCTCATTAGCCATAGGGCCATAGAAGCTAAGATAGTTAAGATAGCATATAATTGTGTCACTCAGATGGGCAAGATACCGCTGTGCAGGACCTACTCCCAACTAGGAAGAAACTGCTTACTGTTAAGGTAGCAGTCTCTGTATTAGCTGTGGATGTCTTAGTGTCTGGTCCATTGAGTTACATGTAGTAAACGTTTTTCTCCAAGCTTAAAAATGTAATCATTTGAAAAACTAGTCTCCAGCGGGACAAAACCCTCCCTTGCTCTGCCTGCCAGGACTGGAGAGGTCTGTCCTCCCTGGCCTCCAGCTGTGCAAGACAGGGAAACTGTCCTGGGCTTTTTAATGGCAGAGAGAGGCCAGCAAAGCCAAGTCGTAGACACGTGTTTTCTGGAGTCAGGACTCATCCTGGTAGTGTAAACACGAGACCTCTGTCAGAGTGAAGATGGTTTGGGGACACTGGCTGCCAGTCCTGAAGCGGTGCGTGCTGCCTCAGCTCATTCAGCTCGCTGTGGGTTGTAACTGTCTGACTGTCTCCGAGCTTGCGCTACTTATCGATGCTCATTTCACCCCTCTCTTTTCCCTTTCCTACTCTTGCTTCCTTTGCTATATCTGTGTGTCTTTCATGGTAAGACTAAAGAAAGTCTATCCACGTTATAATAAATAAATTTCATATATTTTTAGTAAACCAAATTGTTGTATATATTTTTGGCTGCCTTTGTCCCTCTGTGTCTTGCTTTTGTTTTGTAAAATATCCCCAGCAGTATGTACACACACACACACACACACACATTCTTTCTTTTCAGTATCTATATGCAGCAAAGAACTTCAGTGCAAATTTAGTTCTCCTTACTATATTTGCATTTTTCCTCATGTTTCTAATATTTGGTTCTTGTTATCTTGCATTTTTAAAGCTTGCCCAGTAGCACTTTAAGGTATTTGTTTCATTCCTGCAATTTATTTCTTATGTAAGTAGTAAGAAGAGAATCTGAGTGGTGTTCTTGCAGCCCTTCTGTCCTGTTGTTGCGTTCTTCCCCTTTTGGCCCTTTTAGCAAAACCAAGCCATGCCAGCCAGTGTGGCCCCAGCATGCCGCAGTCAGCAACCCAGCTGTCAGTCTCTTGGCATAAGTGTTTTAACTCAGCCCTTCTTGGTTTGCACAGTGGAATTAGGGCTTAGCGATGGCCTAAGAAGCCGTCAGTGAAGCTCTGTCACAAAGCTGAGCTGTGGGGGTCACTTGTCCTGTCATTTGCAGGTTACCTTCTTAACCGTGCCTCCTTTGGTAAACCCACAGGAAGTGCTCTGCAGGCCATGTCCCCAAGAATCGGCCTGGCCGAGAGGTGGCAAGTGTGTGTGACAGAAGCACAGCCTGCTTGGTGGCCTGGAGAAGTGCACCTGTCCTTTTCCCTGCTGCCAGTGGGCAGTGTTTATTCCTCCCCAACTCTGAGAGTCTGTGGGATCATGGCCAACTAGAGCCCTGAGAGAGAGAGAAATCTATCCTCGGTAACCCCCAGTCCTGGGGGTTATCAGCAGAGTAGCTTAAAGTTATATTTTTCAAATTTGAGTTGGGTTTATAACAAGGGAGGCTCTGGAAATCATTTTTATAGTAGAACAGACTACCAAAGGAGTATAATAGAAACTTAAGGAGCCCGGGATTTATTGCATCTTGGAATGACAGCAGACACACTGCATGTGGCAAGCAGTCCCCGCATGTGCCCTCCATTCACATTGTTTTAGCTTAAGGAGATCCCACTTTCTAAGAAGGTTTTCTCAGTAATCAGTGGCACCGATGTGCACTACTTGGCAGTGTTTTTAACTCAAGGAATGTCTATAAGTCTCAGATTCTTCTCTTACTACTTACCATTCTGGAGTGTAAGTGTAAGCTGCACAACAAGATTAAAAACAGCACTTATATTTTCATCTTTGTGTAGAATTTCAACTTATCATAACCACAAGAATTCGTAATTCCTGTGCCGGATATCTTGGGTCTCACTAACCAGACATACATTCTGCCATTTCTAACCTGGGCCTCAGTTTCCTACTCCTCCAGTTGGGTTGAAACAGACTGAACCATCCCATGCTCTGCATTCACCCAGCCTCCTTCCAGCAGAACCTGTTGTAATTGGGCTGCAGTTGGCTTGCTGGCGCTCACTGTGTGCCCTGAGGGGAAGCCTGGGCCGCTTTCTCCAGCTCCGGTTCCCTCACCTAGTTAGCAGTAGGAGGTCTTTTTCCTCTTGCATTTCACACTGCATGGAATTTAAAAGAAGTTTTTATTTTAAACTAAGAGGTGCAGAAGAAGTGCAGCCAGTTCCTAGTGCCCTCACCCAGCTGCCCCTGATGCGAACATCTGACACAGTGTGGTGCGTGTCAAGCCCAGAAAGTCCCCAGGCGCAGGGCTGCTGGCTGCTCTCGGTGGTGTCCAGCCTTTTTCTCACCCAGCATCCGAGTTGGGAAGCTTGGTTGCTCTTAGTGTCCTTAGTCTTGCCCACTGTGTGGCAGCCACGTCTCACTCATTGTTTTTGACAAGAGATTTAAAATACCACACAGTGAAAATGCATAGCCGCCTGCCCTGTGGCTGAACACTTGTGTCTTGTCCTCCCTCCCTGTTTCCCTTCTCCTTCCTCTCTCTGCCCACTGCCTGACCAGATGCTTCCCTCTCACTGAAGCCTTGAACAGGGAGGAGACTGAAGCTTTGTCTTCCAGAACCTACCCTCGTCTTAGTATTTCCTGCTCCAACATTTATGCATTTTATTTTCTATGAGCCACCTTCACTTGCGCTTCAGAGTCTGTGGTTGAGAAGTAGTAATCCTTCCCTTGGAACAATAGTTTGGCCCACATGATCCAAAACCTTGCTAAAAAGTTACTGAAATTAGTGAGAACCAACTGATATTTCCAGCATAAACTGCTCTGCATGACATCTGTATAATTGCTTTGCATGTATGTATTTTAATTGTCAATGCTTGGTAATAATTTATTCCAGAAGTAGCAAAATTCAGCTTGGGGTTCTATTTTGGTATAATTGGGGAGGAGAGGGATGCAATAGTCAAATTTATTAACCTGTCTTTTTAAGTTCAAATGGATACAATGATATGCAGATTCTGGCATGTCTATGCATAGGTAAACTTTTTCTCCCCTCACAGTAAGTAAAATTTCAAGTAAAATTTTCAAGCATAATAGCCTTAATTGCATATAAAACTTCCCTGTTATACTTTTTTTTTTAACGATAACTACAGTTATCCGCAAGTTTGTTCTAGAGCAGTTGTGTGCTGACCACTCTCCTGGTTGATTTCTGGAACTTTGTTAACTCTTTGGTCTTTTAGAGAATCTGAGTACATAAAAGAGACTGATGAAGAGAAAGCTTCCTTGCAGAAGTCCATCAGTATCACTAGTGCTTTGCTCACGGAGAAGGACGCCGAGCTGGAGAAGCTGAGGAATGAGGTAAGGCACCTCCTCGGGGCCAGCCTGCCCCTCTCTCTGCCCCACCATCCAGCCTGAGCTCCACACTGTGTTGCAGGTCACAGTGCTCAGGGGAGAAAACGCCTCTGCCAAGTCCTTGCATTCAGTTGTTCAGACTCTCGAGTCTGATAAGGTGAAGCTTGAGCTCAAGGTAAAGAACTTGGAGCTTCAACTCAAAGAAAACAAGAGGCAGCTCAGCAGCTCCTCAGGTAAACCAGCACCCCTGGGCCCTCTGCACCTGCTCCCCTCCCCTGCGCCTGCTCCCCTTCCCCGCTGGGCCTGTGCCCCACAGCGGCTGCTGCACCAGCAGAGTCTGAAAGTGCAGTGGGGGCCCCAGTGGAGGGAGATGGGTTGCTTCTCTGGGGGCCAGGCTGAGACAGGCCACGGGACGGGAAATGGCTTCCATTCCCTGCAACAAGGCAAAGCAGCTGCAATTTGTAACCCTCCCTGCTTGTGTTTGTTTTTTAAATATAAGGTAATACTGATAGTCAAGCAGAAGAGGATGAGAGAGCCCAGGAGAGTCAGGTAATATTTTCTTCTTATTTCTTTGCTGTCTTCCTGTTTTTCAAAATCATTTAGCCTTTTGACTAGGTAATGTATTCCTATGCTTCAAATGTAAACAGTATGCAGAGCATATACAATAAAAAGTCTTTCTATGAATATTCACTTCGGTTTAGTGCCTAAGCCTCCAAACAGGTAATTACTGGTGCTAGTAGTTGCAGAGATTTAAACAAAAAGTGTATATAGGTGGGCACCATGGAGAGCACTGCTAATCTCAGCACTCTGGATGCTGAAGCAGGAGGATAATTTGAGTCCAGGAGTTCAGCCAGCTTGGGTGACATGGAGATCCTGTCACAAAGAAGTAAATGTATATATAAGCCCATATTAATGCAACCACATACCCCTGCTTTTAAAAAATATCAGTAACCTACCACATGAACTGTATTGCACCAACCATTTCTGTAGCTGTGTAGTATTCCATTACTAATTTTTAATCCATTCCCTTTTTTACCTTCATGGTACTGAGGATTGATACCTGGGACCTTTACACTGAGCTACATTCCCAGCCCATTTTTTAATTAATTAATTAATTTATGGTACCAGGGATCGAACTCAGGATCTTACACTTATGGGACAGACACAGTGCTACTGAGGTGAATCTCCGGCTGTCATTTTTTATTTTTAATTTTGAGACATGGTTTTGCTAAATTGTCCATTGTAGGCTTAAACACATGATCCTCCTGCCTCAGCACTCTGGGTTAAAAGGCATAGGTTGGTTACAGCAGCTCCCTTTCTGTTGATAGGACATCCTGTAAGGGATTGTCTTAAATAAAATCAGACTAAATAATGGGTTAGCGCTGTCTGCTTAGTGTGTGTCTCGCAAGTCAATACGTGATTAACACTGTTTTCTCTTCTCCCCTTTCCTTTCTGCTTCCATTTGTTTCTGCTGCTGCTGACAACACTTTTCTTCCCATCAGCAAATGGTTTGTTTTATGTTTCCTAATGTGTGTGTGTGTGTGTGTGTGTGTGTGTGTGTGTGTGTTTGCTTTACTTACATGCATTTTGTGGCTTTTTCTTCATCCTGAAATAAAGTTCCTAATCGGAAGTGATCTAGAAAATGCAATTCGAGAAGCAAAAATAGACACAGTAGTGCATCTGCCTTCAAAGGTAGACTCACTGATGTGACTTAATGCCGAGAAAGACTAGTGACGGCTAACAGCCTTTCCTCAACACTTACCTCGGCAGGAAAAGAGGACCAAGTAGTTTTTAAATAGAGAGAGAGAGAGAGAGAGAGAGAGAGAGAGAAAGAGAGAGAGAGAGAGTGTTTATACTAGAAACCGGGATCTTTCAATATATAGAGAAATGAGGCTTTTTCACTGTTTGTAGGAAGGGGAAGCACCCTTTTGTCTCTAAAGTGCTTTGGTTAAAGGAAGTGTTCAGGACAAAAATGTCCTCTCTGCCTCGGGATCCTGGCTGCAGGCGCCCCTCCTGTGTGTGGCAGCTGAACACTCGGTGTCACCATGTGCCCCTGTCCCGCCCTCCTCAGCAGAGGGAACCGCGCCTCCTTTTTGAGCCTCTCCATCTCCCTTCCAGGCAGACTTCCTGTTCTGCTGAGACTTTCAGTCACTAAAGGGAAGTTGGTAGAACATGACGTTAAAGTCCTGAACTGATTCCAGAATTTAATGAAAGAGCTTTTTATCCATTATGTAAAATTGTATGTTTTTTGGTGATACAAGGAAAACTAAAACTTATGCCCATGTATCCACGTGTATGTTTTTAGGTGATGGAAGGTAAAACCTATGCCCACACATCCAAAAATCTGAGATTATTATTTTTGGACAACAAAAGTGGCTTTTTTTATTGAAAGAAGTGTTTCTTACACTTTTCCATGAATCAGTAGCACTCTTCCAACTCTAAGATTTAGCTGTTTAAGTGTAATTTTTTTTGCCTCAATGACAAATGAAGTTTACCCATTTACAGCTGGAAACATTCATTGAAATGTGCTTAAAATGTTTTTTCAATCGGCATGGTGGCACCCACCTGTAATCCCAGCACTCGGGAGGCTGAGGCAGGAGGATTGCCATGAGTTCGAGACCAGCCTGGGCTACATAGTGAATTCAAGTCCAGCCTGAACTACATAGCAAGACTGTCTCAGAAATACACAAACAAAACAAAAACCAAAGACAGTGTTTTTCAATATAAAATAGTTGCATAGCAAGGAACATTTGAAGACTGTTGAGAGATTGAAAGAAGACAAAGGAACCTCCTTAACCCCATTCACCCAAATCACCCAGCCAGGCTGGGTTCCACTGGGTCAGACATCATTGAAGTAGGGGGTTCAGCAGAGGCCTCTTGGCAGCCACATAGAGAGGGCAGAGGGCAGACTTCTGATTTCCTGATAGCCAATGTGTCCATGTCCTAGACCTCTGATGTGCCTCACTGATTCTTTTTCTTTTTCTTTTTCTTTAACAAATCAGATTGATTTCCTAAATTCAGTAATAGTGGACCTTCAGAGGAAAAACCAGGACCTCAAGATGAAGGTGGAGATGATGTCAGAAGCAGCCCTCAATGGTAACGGGAACGACCTGAACAATTACGACAGGTATTTCCTATTGGGTCATACTGATCGCACCTGTACTGCTGTTGGAATAAGTGTTTTAAAGTTAGGTTCTCTGGTAAGCTGTCAAAACAAAAAGAAATGATTGCTTTGTGGTTACTTTGCCATAAATAGATATCCATAAGTCCACAGTTGGTGTGATCTGAAAATTTTAAATGTGGAAGGTACTACTTATCCCAAAGGCACATGGACTTGGCCAGATTTAGTTCTTGCTTAGTTTTAGAATTCTTTGTAAGTGCTGTCATCTGTTGCATCTCTTCTGATAAAGTTTGTGGGTTTGGGGGGATGGTTTTTGGGTACTGGGGATCAAACTCAGGCCCTTGTGTTTGCAAGGCAGGCAGTGGAACCACTGAGCCAAATCCCCGGGCCTCTAAAGTTTGTGGTTTTACACATTAACCTTTGTAGTGATGACCAGGAGAAGCAGTCCAAGAAGAAACCCCGCCTCTTCTGTGACATCTGTGACTGCTTCGACCTCCATGACACGGAGGACTGTCCCACACAGGCACAGATCTCTGAGGACCCGCCCCATTCTACGCACCATGGCAGCCGGAGTGAGGAACGGCCCTACTGCGAAATCTGTGAGATGTTTGGGCACTGGGCCACCAACTGCAATGACGATGAGACCTTCTGATGCAGCGCCCAGGGTGGGGCGTTCAGAGGTGCCCACTTAGCAGTTTGACACCAGCCTTGTGTGTGCGGCTTCAGGAGAACTCATTATTTTTTACTCCATCAGCAAATCTAGGAAAATATTTTGGTCTTCAACAAATTGCTCTTTAGTCTCCCTTTATAAGTTAGAATAAATAAATATTTAATAGGTGAGCTTTCACCTCTAATTCTGTTTTCTTGATTTTTAAGTTTTAAGACATTGCACCAGATGCCATTACATTTATTGTCCCTAAGGTAACTTCATAGAACAAGCCCTTCCCCTGTAGTACCTTATTTAAGAAACTTTAAATTATGCCGTTACTTTTCATATTTGCACTAAAATATTTCCAGGCTGCATTTGTATATTTAGGGATTTTTTTTGTTTGTTTTTTTTGTTTGTTTTTTGTTGTTACGCTTTGACACTGGAATGAGTTGCAAAAAAATGTATCATTTTGCATTTTCATTTACTCAGAGTATTTTATTCTTAAAGGAATATTGAGCTCTTTGCACTACCTGGTAAAGTAGTGCCTTTTTTCAGGCTTAATAATACTTCAGTGTGATTATAAATCATGAAACAGGCAGGAAGAGAGGAAGCCCCTATGTTGCTCTGGGGCATTTTACAATCTATATGCTGCACCCACCTACTCAACTGTGGTGTTTTCTTTATTGGTTTTATGTAATTTCAGCTTCTATATATTATATGTATATATATTTTTAAAAATATATATTTTGGGGATAAAAACAAGGTGTCTTTGTTTTAAGATTTTTACAGTGAAAAAGTAAACACCTAAAATGATGACCAGGACAGAATATACTAGGCCGGAAGTAGCATCATGTGGCTTTACAACTATTTTTTGTTTCCATTTTTTTTTTTTTAAACTAGATCTAAATAACTGGAAAGATTTCTCCAATGTTTTTTCCTTCTCTAGCGCATATCCCTAGCCATGAATTAAGCCACGATAAAACACCTAAATAAACCAATCTACAATCTTCCTTTACAGTTTTTTTTACTGTTTTTAGATGAATGTATGATGAGAAAGTCAACATTAATAATATGGATTTTCTTATCACAAAAAAGGACCTCAAGCACCAAGAACAGTTTTATCAACAGAATCTATTTATCTTCATTTGAATGTCTTCTAGAATATGTAAAAAGTAATAAAATATATCTTCCATCCATGTGTATAATAAGAATTTCTATAACTGTATATATGGCTCTGATGTATTCCCACGATTTTCAACTGTGTTTGACAAGTGAATAAATAAATCTGTTATCAGGTGAAATTTTTGGTTGATAACATAGTAAGGATTGTTTCACAGACAGAAAACAAAGCAGTATTAAAGTCTAAGCAAACAAGTGTTCTGTATCCACTTTAATAAACGGTTATTATTATTTTTGCCAATAGCAGTAAACTTGTTATTCTCAGTTTGTCATGTTTTTTGTGTTTTTTGTTTTTTGGTACCAGGGATTGAACTTGGGTCCTTGCGCTTGTGAAGCAGGAGCCTGAACCACTGAGCTAAATCCCCAGCCCAATGGCTTTTCTTTTAGTTGAGCAAATACCAGAGATCCAAATAGCAAGTTCTTCTTTTGGTGCTGGACCTTGAACCTGGTACCTCAAGTGTGCTAAGCGTGTGGTGTCACTAAGTTACTCCCCTTCCCCCCAAGTAGCACTTTCTACTGCAGCCTTATACAGCTGTGTCCTGAGTGGCAGCTTGGGATGAAGAGCTTCCTGAGCGTGATGTGATGTTTGGGTGCTTGTGAATGCTGACTGAATCATTAAGAATTTTCTAAAAATGGAACAATAGGCGCAGAAGGCTTCTCTGCAGTGGGTGGTGCAGTGGAGTTAAGAACTGGGGAGAGTAGAGATCTGAGTACAAAGTGATGCTGTCAGATCCTACCAAGGCCAGTGTGCTAGAGGATCGTGGAACAATGCAGGAAGGGTTCTGGGCCTCTTAGGAACTTCAGGAAACAGCTACCCTACCAGCCAAGACTGTGGGAAACTAGTCATGTTGGGGTGTGGTAGACAATGTCTCACTATGTAGCTCAGGCTAGCCTCCAACTCAGGGTGATCCTTCTGCCTCAGCCTCCCACATTCTGGGATTGCAGGTATGTAACACCATACCTGGCTTTAAAGAAAGAAAGAAAAAGAAATTGGCAGCCTTTTTTTTCTGGGACTGGGAATCAAACTCAGGACCTTGCCTGTGGGAGGCAGGTAGCGGAACCGCTGAGCTAAATCCCTAGCCCTTTTCTTTTTGGTACCAGGGATCAAACTTGGGACCTTGAACTTGCGAGGCAGGTGGTGGAACCACTGAGCTAAATCCTGGCCCCAATTGGTAACCTTTCTTAACTCAAAATATTTTGTTTGCTATTTAGCAGAAAATACAAGTACCTAAAGTTGAATTAGGCATAGTGATTCATGCCTGTATTCTCAGCACTCTGGAAGAAGGATTACAAGTTCAAGCCCAGCCTGGGAATTTAGTGATTTAGCAAGAGGCTGTCTCAAAATTTAGGAAGGATTGGGGATATAGCTCAGAATGAAGACCATGGGTTCAATCCTCAGTACTGCCAAATTGTTATCCATTGCTTTACACTCCATGTCTAACAAAAATAGAAGTGGCACCAAGTGGTACCAGCTATTAATCCATGAACATGTTTGGGGAGGGGCTGGCCATGCACCACCATGCCTAGCTAAGCCATGGTGTAGAGAAAAAACAGATATTTACAAAACTTGATTACTGAACCAATTGAGTGCTAGTACTTTGAAAATCTTTTTTAGGAACATACTCATAGCCAGCTATTCCAAAGCAGTGACTACTTGAAAAGAACAGTACTTTTACCTAAATAATATTCTGCACTGTAGTTCACAGTTTTAGTATTGAAGTGATTACAAGACAAAACAGTCTACAATTTTCCCTGAAGCACCTGTTACTCCATCTACAATCCTGGGTTGTTTTTTTTTTCCTTTTTTTTGTACCAGAGATAGAACTCGGGACCTTGTGCTTCCAAGGCAGGTGGTGGCACCACTTAGATTAATTTCGGGCCCTACAAATCTGATTTGCTTGGAGGTAGTTTATCATCTTGGTTACACTTACACATGCTTGAGATTTCACCAGCCGTAGGCATTTTACCCCTTAGACCTTTTCTTAACAGCTCTTGTGGCTTGTGAACGCTACATTTATTTTCACAGGAATTAAAATGAAACAAAACTCTACAGGTGAGTTGGACACAAGCAGAGAGCCACCATGAAACCTGAGAAGGGAGCATGGAAGAATTTGCATATGTGCTGACAAGTTGCTGGCAAAATGAAATATCCCTAGCCAGGTGTGGTGGTGCCCACCTATAATACCATTACATGGAGGCTGAGGCAGGAAGATCACCGAATTGGAGACCAGCCTCAGCTACATAGTGCGATCAAGCCCAGCCTGACATATCAGAAAACCCTATCTCAAAAACAAAAACGTAGGGATCGGGGATGTAACTCTGGTGCAGCGCCTGCCTTTCAAGTGCAAGGTCCTGAGTTTGATCCCTCCACCAGAAACAAAACCCAAATGTCCCTGAATCAAGACCCTGAGATAAACAGTGAGACTCTGTCTCATACAAAACAAAACCCTTAGAATGTAAATTTCAATTGCTTGCTTTTCTGCAACATCCCCAAATGACACTCTTGCTTACTCAGACTCCATGGTTACTGCTTAAAGAGTCTTCATTAACATAAAATGTATTAAGATATTTTAAAGGAGGTTATATATTCGATCAAACATTTTCAAATCTCATCAGATCCCAAATGACTTATTTCCACGCTAAAGTATCCAAGGGTTTTTATCATAATTTAAGCAATCAAGTTCCAGGGACCCTGCTCAGCCTTTCACATGAATTCTCTTTGATACAATTCACAGGTCTAAAGCTATTTTTACTGCTAGGAAAGTGGTGGCGCCTGGATTCCAGATATGATAGTATTTGTATGAAATAACGTCGCCATAAAAGTCTATCAGGGAAAGCTAAAAACCGAGAAGCCATTTAACTTTCCCTCGGCCCCTAACTATAAAATTAGAGTTCACAAACGAGAGGAGACGTCATTAGTGCGAAACGAAGGATATGATTTTTTTATAATTTAAAAGGTTTGCAGTCAAGTTAAATATCTAGTTTTTACAGCAACAAATCTTGGTGGTGATTTGAAAGAAGCTGCGATTTTTAAAGGGGACGAGCGAACCAGTCCTCATCCTTAAACTCCGTTTTCAGCCCCCAGTGACTCCAGGAGGAAGACAGGGTCTGAATAAGCCGCTAGATGGGAGAAACAAGCGGACTCTAGGACCGCACTAGCGAGGAGCCAAATTCCGCCGATTCTGGCTTCCGGGTTGGCGAGCATCGGCGGCCTCAGTCATGTGATCGTGCCGTCAGGTGACCGCGCCACGGCCTCGCGCAGGGAACTGGCGGCGGGGCAAGATGGCGGCTCACTTGTCCTATGGGCGAGTGAACCTGAATGTGCTGCGTGAGGCGGTGCGTCGCGAGCTGCGCGAATTCTTGGACAAGTGCGCGGGAAGCAAGGTGAGAAACGGAGCACTGCGATACCACTCTCGCCTTCCCTGGTCCTGTGTGGCCTAATCCTGACCTCGATCGCCTGAGCTTGCTGTGTACGAGGTCTCCTGGGGCTTGCAGGAAGCGAGTTTCAGAACCCTTCTACCTGCAACCCTTGCGGGCGACAGCGATGAGGCAGGTGACCCTGAGCTCCTAGCCTGGAGTCCGCGTGCCACCGCGTCTGTTCTGAGACAGAATAAGCCACTGTTGTGTCCCAGCTCCTGGCGAGCTGCGTTAAGCCGCGGCTTCTCCGAGACTAAGAAGCACTTCTGATGATCTGAGACGCGGGACCGGTGGGATGCGCCCGGCCCAGGGATGTAGATGCCCACTGTCCATTCGTTACCACGACCGTACACGTCAGTACCGATCCGGCTTCGAAAGTCGCTGAAGCACCGACCCCTTACATAAAAATGATGAGAAAAGATGAAGTTATTTGGAATTTTTAACTTGGCCTTCCTATAAAATAAAGCACCAAGCTCACAGGGGAGGTGGACTCCAGATTGTTGACTTAAAGGCCTTTATTTTAAGAATTGCTGCCTGTGTGTTCTTTTTAGGATGCCAGCCCCCTTATGAACTGGGAGTATTCCTCCCAAGGGAAGACTGGAACTGAGAAACCCCGTAACCAGAGTTAGATTTAAGAGAGAGAGGTTGCTTGCAGCCATTGAGAGCACAAAACAGGCTAAAGTATAGGGGCCCAGTTTAATTCAGCAGATGATGCTGAAATCTGAATGAGATTATGGATTGAATCAGTGTGGAGATCCTGAATATAATATTGTGCTATACCTTTGCAAAATGTTACCACTGGAGAGAAATGGGTTAAATGCACAGAGAGCTCTATTCTTAAACAACTGAAGGTTAGTCTACAATTATTTAAATAGTCATTTCAATTAAAGAAAAAAAGTGAAGCTGCAGTTTAGTAGTAGAAATACTGAAAAGGTCACAGAGCAGTGACTTACAATGTCAGAAAGACCTATTTAGCTCAGTAGTTGCCTGCTTCACAAGCTCAAGGACCTGAGTTTGATCCCTGGTACCAAAAAAAAAAAAAGTCCTAATTTGAAGTCTTGGTTCACTTGCCCTGTAAGATCTGAGGATGGCCTTGGTCTGGCTATGAAGTTCAGCCTGTCCTTGAACTCTATAGAGCCTAGGTTGGCCTTGAACTCACAGCAGTTCGCCTTCCTCAGCCTCCCCAGTGCTAGGATTACAGGTCTGTGCCACCACGCTCAGCATTATTAACTTTGAATTATACAGAATTATTAACTTTGAATGAATCTGAAGAAAATATTTCTACTGTGAATGACTGCTGCTTCCTGTTGATATTGAAATCCCTAAGGTTCTCTGTAGTAAGAGAATGTTTCTCCCTTCTTACAGGCAATAGTTTGGGATGAGTACCTAACAGGACCATTTGGCCTGATTGCACAGTATTCACTACTGAAGGTAAACAAGCACTGTGTGTTTTGTTCTGGGATTAATAGTTCTGACTTCATCAGTGACAATAGAATTTTACATTTCCTTCCTACTAATTGACTTGCAAAACTGTTTGGTCTGTACAAACACTGATACTAGCAGGTGATTAACATTTTGTATGCAGCAGCCTGTACAGACCCTTGTGTTATGTGACCTGTACTTGTGTCTTCAATAGTTCATCATATCGGAGTAATTTGAATGCCGATGCAATAGCCGTGGCTTTATCCTGAAACTTTTATGTATTTGGCTTGGGAGGGTCCTAAATTTAATAATAAACTATTACCGTACATTTGATTGGGTGTCTGAATGATTTTTGAGCCTGAAAATGATAGATACGTTTCAGGCTTTTGGTTAACCTTCTGTGCATGTGTTTTCCTAGGAACATGAAGTGGAAAAAATGTTCACACTTAAAGGAAGTCGTTTGCCAGCAGCTGATGTCAAGAATATTATTTTTTTTGTCAGACCCAGGCTCGAACTGATGGATATAATTGCTGAAAATGTGCTCAGGTATCTCAGCACTTATGTTGGGTGAAAGAAGTGGTCATTACAATGGTTTTACTGTACTGAGCTCTCCTTGTCCTTACAAACTTTCACTCATGACAGTGGATTGGAAGATGTTCTTTTGGAAAAGTGGGCAGGGATGGAATGGTGTAAGAAGGGGGATAGCAGCCGGGCCTGGTCGTGCACTTCTGTGATCCCGGAACTTTGGAGGCTGAGGCAGGAGGATCAACGTGAATTTGAGGCCAACCTGGGCTACCAAGACCAGCTTGGACTACAAAGTGAAACTCTGTCTCTCTCAAAACAAAACAGACAAACAAACAAAAATTAAAAAAAAAAAAAAGAAAGGGATGGGAAACTTGTGAAGTTCTAAACAGTTTAAGATGGGGACTTGTCACATACCCCATTCTCTTGGAAGAGCTAAAAGTTTAAACCTGTATCAGAATAGAGGATCCTATTTTTATTTTTTTAAGTCTTCTAATGGTTATTTTCCATTTACTGAATGTAATGTGCTTGAATTTCATAAGCAAAATAAGTAAGCTGATTAAAATTTAATGTAGCATCATCCACTCTTTAGAGGAAGCTCTCTCTGCATAGTCTGCTCTCCGGTACAATTGATTGATGCAGCCCCTTACATCTTAAAAGCCTCTGGGCTATTTCTGGAGTCCACTGAGGAAGAGCGAAGAGGCTGGGCATCAGGAGCAATTTCTCAATTTAATATGAGACTCTTGTTGCATTGGTCCAGTTAAAGAACCATTTATTTTCTGAAAGACACAGGTATCCTGTTTTAATAAACCTGGGAGCTTAATGACCCATAATGGCTTGAGAGAAAGCTAGAAGAAAAGCCACAGAGAGCCGGAGATTTAGCTCAGTGGTGATGCCACCTGCCTCATAAATGCAAGGACCCAAGTTCAATCCCCGGTACCAAAAAAAAAAAAAAGAAAAACCACAGAGCACTG